TGTCAATAATTTCACTGAATTTAATCAACTTAACTAAATTCGACCTTAAAGTTTAAATGAATGGAGTTTAATTTCTTTGGGGAGAGAGAGTGACAATGTATTAGCAAAGAATACAAAGCGGATATAGAGAAACAAGATTAATTGAGTACTCATTAAAGGGTAATGCTATATGCATCCCTATATAAGCATTTAATATCCTTCTTTTTTTAGTATTAAGTTGAGAACTTATCGACAATTCACAAGTAAATCGGTGTAATAAATGTTTATTTATTGTCTATTTTTTTTCACTTTTAGCTTCATATATGCATATATCTTTTTCCCTCATTAAATTCAAGGCTAATTAATAGATTATGTAATAAGTTGTTCAAATTGTGAAGAATTTCATTGATTTTGAACTTGGTGTTTCAATGGAGTCTAGTTAATTAAGAAGTACAAAATTATGTGGAGAAATGGGTCTTCAATCCTTGATAATGAAATTTCTCCTTTCGTTTCAATATGATAGTTTCATATGAAATCTATATCTGTATACTATACTAAAACAGGGTACACAACCTCTATGGCTGACATGTGTGATGTGTCCCTGTCTTAGTTTTTTTATTTTTATTTAATTTTTTAGTTTTAAAATTTAAATTTTTATATTAGCAAATTAAATGATTTGTATCGGTATAGTATTTATATGGGATCATATCATATATGGAGTACATGAATTTAATGTGAATATTCCACGTCAAACTTCCATACATATAAAGAATATAATAAAATATTTTACCTTATAATTTTCTACCGTATAATTTTATAGATATTACAACTATATATAGCATATATTTTAGTTTTAAAATTTAAATTTTGGGGAGTGCTAAACGCAACCTAACTTTACTTAGCGTAGCCTCTATTCCACTCATTTATTAGATGTAGGGAAAAAATAACCATTTTATATCTTTTCCTCTCAAGTAATCTCTAATAACAAGAGTGCATTAATTTAACTTAAAATACATTGAATTTGCAATGGGTAATGATTTTTACATTAGCCTCTTCGAATTTGATAAAGAATCATACAAATCTATTATGTGTAGAATCAATAAAACCACTTTTAATTTCATCCTTCAAAAAAAAAAACCACATTTCATATTTCGTTCAAATTGTATAAAATAATTGAGCCCATTTCGTGTGTCACCCAACTTCATCCGATTCATGTTCATATTTATTAGATCTCGGAATATTGTTCGCTAATTGATTATGTAAGTAATTCGAATAAACAAAAAGGTATAAATTTCTGGAAGTTAGGTGTGGAAGGTGGAAAGGAAAGCACGAGATTATTTGTGATGTACAAAGTGCAATATATAATGATCATGTTGTTATTATAATGGTAAATTTTTCCAAATATTTATTGAGTTAAGGGATGGAGATAATTATTTTAACAATGAGGTAGTTAGTAATTCAAGTAGAAACGAGGGAAAAAAATAACATAGGGCCTGTTCTCATATGTTTATTTTCAGTTCAATTCAGTTCAGTTCAGTTCAATTCAGCTAGCTTAGTTTCGTTCAGTTTAGTTCAGCTCCTAATTTCATTTTCTTATAAATATTCATTTCAGTTTATTTTAGTTCAGTTCAGTTCAGTTCAGTTCAATTCAATTCAGTTCAGTTCAGTTCAGTTCAGCTCAGCTCAGTTCAATTCAGTTCAGTTCAGCTAATTTCAGTCTATTAGCTTAGGCCCTTAATGTGGATATTAATTGTTAATCCATTGAGTTGAATTATTTTTCAAATCTTTACATGCAATTTAAGAATTAAAAAAAGTTGTTTTCAAGTAGTATTCCGTATATCTTTGAGGGTTAAAAATATATGATTAAGACATTTCAAGTAAATTCACTATTACTCATTAAATTATTTTATTTTAAATTATGTGAAATGAATATGAGTATTGTATTAAGATTTGTAAGCCGTGTATCGTATGGATGCTATACTAGTCAATCACAAAAAATAAAAAAAGAAGAATATTTGGAATCTAACATTAAAGTAAATAACAATTCATAAATGGTTTGCTTAATTTAATTTTTTTTTTAATTTTTTGTAGGAAACTGTCAACCATAATTGCATAATTCAAGGCAATAATTTACTTTACTTAGAGTCATATCATCAATTCACAATCAATTAATTTAACCAATCAGAATTTAATATGTATAAAATATGAAATAAAAACTATGTTAAAAGTGAAATACATGCAATATGGATAGATCTTTTTAAAACGCCCAAAATAATATCTGGGACTAACAAAGTGAAACGGAGAGAGTATTAAAATTAACATACATATGTATTATACACATAAATCACCTATTCAAGGACATAGGGGCAGAGCAATAAATACTATTAATTTCTTATTATGTGATTGCATATATAATGACGTACTCTAATTCCTTCATCCCCCATTGTTTGCTTCATTGGAGAAACTTTGGATGGAAGAAACTGATGATGAGAGAAAGTGATGAGGTTAAATGTCATAGTAATGAGAGTAAAGTAACCAAAAATGTTACCAAAAAAAATTTACTTAACAGATTCACGAATAAGTTGAGACAAAAATTAAGGAACAGACGGATGAAATGGTAGATAACCAGGCAATACATTTTTTTTTTTTTTTTTTTGGTATTTCACCCGGTTCATCATTTGGGCTAATTTGGTTTCGGGATCAATTCTGGGTGGTTAGGTTCTAGTCCCCTCCCAATTGTTGTTGTGAGGGATCGAACACAGGTTCCCTCTACAAGTGTAATCTCAATCATCACTACATACACCAACATCCAATTGGTACCAGACCATACATCCTATCTAGTAAATGGCTACTTACAAGAACCCTAAAGAAATCAAGATTCCATGTATAACAGTATAACATATTTACATCCTACAAAAAACAGTTCTTCGCTCACATACAATTATTTTTAGAGTAGGTCCCACCCAATACAAGAACAACTATTGGAAATTCTAAAAACATGCATGCATAACTTTGCATTGTGTACGTAAGCTCCCGCGAGGCCACGACCCACGCCTATAAAAAGCCACCCTCCATTGAACTTAATTTCACAAATAAACTCAAATCTCACAAATATTTTCTTTCTATAATCCTTCATCTCTGAGCCCTGTCCTTTAACCCAAAAAAAAAAAAAAAAAAAAAAAAAAAAAAAAAAAAAAGCCTCTTGTGCATCAAACTAAAATTTCGCATATACAAAAACGTATGTAAGCTTCTTCTTCTCAACATTTAAATTTCTTTTTTTTATATGGGTGCAATTCTTGCTCAAACAAATCTGTGCTATTGTGAATTTTCATTTATTTATCTAGTAGTCATTTGGTTAGCATAATAATTAGAAATTTACATGAAATTTAAATTTATGAGAATTCAATTTCAAAATTGAATTCATATATATATATATATATATATATATATATATATATATATATATATATATATATATATATATATATATTTTGTAGTTGTTCAAGTTCAATAAGTAGTGAACAAAGTATAACTTATTTACGGAGTAGAATTTTCTACTTACTTTGAGGAGGTAGGAGACTAATAGATATAGGCAAGTGGATTCTTAAGAAACTCCACTTTACCAAATTTTATACAGCCGAATGAGAGTTAAGCATATAAAAGAGTACTAAGTTTTCACAATTTTCACCCTTTTGATACTCATTTTTTTTCCCACTCTTCAGGTACTAAGGCCAAAGATCCGGCCAACTAACCATGATCTAAATTCTAACCCACCGTCAACCATACATAATAAAATAAAAACCAAAATTATTAAGGAAAAATTGTCCGGAATAATCACACTTTTAGGCCGTCCGCTAAAAATAATCCCACCTTTGTATTATTTTTAAATAATTTCACCTTTACCCTCAATCCGCTCAAATTGGTCCCAAGTAACCTGCAGCCGGTTGAGAAATTTTTTTTTTTCTTAATTAAGTTTAATTTACACGTGTCACTACGTGATTGGTAAAAAAATAAGTTTTAAATTTTTTAAAAGATGATTATTGGAGTAATTAACATTAACTAATTCTTTTAATAAATGATTAAAAATTCAAATAACTACTACCATCCCCAACCACCTCTACGCCGCAAAATACGACGGTGGAGGGGATTGGGTTGAAATCGACGAGAAAGGGGATTGGGTCGAAATCGGGTTAAAGGGAAGGGGAAGGAGCCGGAAAAGGGACATGGGAAGGGGAGGATGCCGGAAAACGTGGTGAGGAAGGGGAGGAGGCCGGACCGCCAGAAATGGGATGGCAGAAGATGAGTGGTTACCGGCGGAGCAGCCTCCCAGCGGTAGCGGCAGGGTAAAAGTTTTTTTTTTTAACTTTTAATTTTTTAATTTAATTTTTTTATTTGACCAATCACAAGCCGCCACATGTCAAGTAACTTGGTTCAACAAGTTAAATGAACGGTTAGGACCATTTTTAGTGGATTGAGTATAAAGGTCGGATTGTTTAAAAATAATTCTAAAGTAGGATATTTTTTAGCAGACGACTCAAAGGTGAGATTATTCCGGGTAATTTTTCCAATTATTAAATACAACTTACCTTCAGTTATAAAAAAATAAAGTCGTTTGAGCATAATTTAGCACAAATACGTACACTAGGGATGGCAATTTAATCCGAGTTCGATTCGAATCCGATCCGATCCGAAGGAAAAAATCCGATTCGAATCCGTTTAAAATTAGTCTGAATCCGAATCCAATAAAATAGATCCGAATCCTAATAGGAGGTGGATCGGACTTGGACCCTACGCAAAGGCCTACCTTAAACATGTAATGGCTGAAGTAAAAAAATTATAATTAATAATATATATAATATTGTCTAATTATTGAAATGGTGAATGTAGTTACGTATCTGTGCTTCTCTTTGATGGCCATTAGGATAGGTGTTTACTCCTACACCTCTATGATGCATTGAAAGATGTTGTGTTCGTGTGATTGCTGGAATGTCCTCAGACGAGGGTGCTTGATGATGACTGTGTCAAGTACCCGACATTCTACATTTTTTTTTATTATGACCTATTTGTCCACACATACTGCATTTGTGAGGTTGTCCTGCCCTTGTGACTTTAATACCCTCTGATTCTCCAACAGATGGCCTTCTCTTTGTTTCTCTCCTGTTATTCAAAACTTTCATTACAGGTGATTCTATGGGTGTTTGCATTGACTGTGGCCCGTCATTAGGTCCATTTAAGGGCTCTAAAGGAAACTCATAAGCTTTCAAATACGTTTCCTTATTGGACCAGTGGGAAATATATGACTCGGGGAGCTCATTGGATTTCAATATTGTTGTCACTGCATGGTGGCATAGAACCCCACTTAGCTGCCATGCATTGCAGCTACATGTTTTGTTTAGCAAGCTCACAACATACCTTGTTTGAATCCCCCTCTTTGACTCCATAGGAGAAGTTGCCATCCCAAAATGCCACCCATCTTTAGCATCAACCTTTGCCCTCTCAAGCCTCTTCTGTATTCTACGGCATATGTTTGTTTCTTTCTTCATCATGAAACCTCATTTTTTATGTATTCTCTCCATAAGACCCTCCCTAATGTCTTCAATCATGGTTATAATGGGTTTGTGTCTAGACGAGAGGATGTAAGCATTGAAAACCCTCTTCATGTTGTTGTCTACACTATCACATTGTGATTGACTAATGTAGAAAGCCCTTACCCATTTTTTATAGTTCATGTTCATTAAATCGTTCCCTACATCAGAATTTAGAGCCTTGACCCGAATTTAGAGCCTTGACCCGAATTTGATTTGACCCGACCTGAACTCAAACCAAACCGGTTTGATCCGACCCGAGCTCAACCCGATCCGAAATTGACCAGACAAATAACTAATCTAATCCAATCTGTTTTGACCCAAACTGATATTAACCCGACCCGATCTTACTCCATTTGATTTTTACCCGATTCGAATTTAACCTGATCATAATTAATTATTGACCTTTTTATTCAAGTTCTTATACTATTGTACTGTATTTACTAATTATTAATAAGTTAACGTTAGTTTTTATTACAAAGAAATAATCCGGAGTAACAAGAGTTTACTTCATGTATATACTAACTATATAAAATTACTTTCTAAGCTTTATATTCGTCTCATCTAAAATTTGCTACAAATAATTTGTAATACTTGAACATTAAAACCTATTCTTTCAACTCGATAAAATATAAAATACATGAATGACTTGATATTGACCCAATAATAAGGTAAAAACTCAATAATAACTCTAGTTTAAAAATAACCTTATTTGGATATGAATTGGGTCAACTCGATTAAAATTCAGCCAAACATAGAAAGGAATTGAATTGAAATTGACCAATAAATGAATCAATGGATCAACCTTATCTTAATCAAACTGAACTTTACCGAAGCAAAATCATCTGAACTGAAATCAACCTCACCTAAATTCACCCGACCCAAAATTAAACCGGTTAAACCCGATCCGAATTTTTCTAAACCGAACATGAACCGATCTGGAGTTGACCCGACCAATATCCGATCCGGACTGGATAGACCATGGCCCGAATTTGACCCGACTCGACCCAATCCGAATTAAAAGAATAATTTTGACCCGAACATGTCCGATCCGATTAGACTCGATACAAAATCCATCCAGTTATCCAAGTTGACCCCTCTACTTATATACTAAAGGCGAATAGAATATGACTCGTGTCAAGATCTGATTAAAATTTTTCCCACCAAAAAAATCATTTTTTTTTTGTTGCCAAATCATCTATGTAAATAATTTATTATAATATTTTTTTTCCTTATTTAAGTTAAATGCCATTCCAAATATTTCATATTTAATATATTAAAAAGAATAAAATAATTTCAATATAGTGATATCTTTTCCTTCCAAAATCAATATAATTTTTGCAACCATATATAAAATTAATATGAAGTAGATATTGCTAAAAAAAACCATAATTTTATTTTATATAAAATTTGTATATTATACAAATATGACGTTAAATTTACTATTTAGGAAACTTTAATGAATATGGACTTTATTATACTCTTTATAAAGAGAATAGATTTATAAATAAAAAAAATAAAAAAATTGTTGAACTACGTATAGGTTATTGTAAGTCTTTATAAAATTTGGTAAAACAAATGCGCGGGATTTAAGCTAGTATAAATTAAATGGAAGCAGTTTTACTTGGTACCTTGACCAACAATGGCAAAGAGAGTGAATTGAACATTGTGGTTTTCAATGCTACCATTTTTTTGTGAGTGAATTTCGAACTAAGAAAGTAGTTAGATACTCCCCCCCCCCCCCCCTCTTTTTTTTTTCTAAATTGATATACATTGATTTTGTTTACTATTGATATACTTTGATATTGTTTACTATTTATGAGACATGAAATTGATTATGAAAGAGTCAATTAGTCCAATGAGTTTTATTAAATCCGCGTCTTTAATCATATGAGTACTTTCATACGAGATGTACTAGTACAAATTCATTAAGAATACATAACATAAACATTGCACATATATAGATTTGATTAATTCAATGCATAGTGAGTGAGTGTAATTTTAAATGATCTTAAACAAAAAGGGTATATTTTCTTAAAACAAATGTCTTGTTCACTTCATCTTATTTGGCTAAACTAAAATTATTTTAATTGAACTAAAATTAAATTTACAAAACTATAATTAAATTTAGTGAACTAAAATTAAATTTATTAAACTAAAATTAATACGTTAAATTGAAATTATTTTTGCTGGATAGAAATTTATTTTATATATTGATTTTTTATTATATTTCTTTTTTTTTAAAGTTACTAATGTTTACTCAATTAATTTATTTTTTACTGATCTCTATTTTATATATTATTATTTATATATATATATATATATTTTGTAAGGTTACTGATTTTTACTGAATTAATTTTTTTTTACTGATCTCTATTTTTTTTGTAAAGTTATTAATTTTAACTGAATTGAAATTGTTTTTACTAAACTAAACTTATTTTTAATTGAACTGAAATTATTTTTATTGAACTAAAATAATATTTTTTTCTGTTTGAATTTTTTTAAGGTGAAGTGAAGAGGGTCAAAGTGTCAAACTTTGTAAATTTAGTACCATCTTTTTCCCTAAAATTTAAATATAGAGTATCTTATTTGGTACTCCCTCCATTTCATAATGTTAGTCCCATATACTATTTTGGGTGTTTCAAAAAGTTCTACCCATATTGAATATATTTCATTTATGATTTGATTTTTTTTTGGAATTAATTGATTGTGGATTGATGACATGACTCTAAGTAAAGAAATTTTTACCTTAAATTATGCAATTATGACTTGTGCTTTCCTAATAAAAAATATAAAAAGTTAAATAAGGTAAACTAATTATGAAATATGTTATACTTTAATGTTAGATTCCAAATATATTTGTTTTCTTATTTTATGTGATTGATTCCATATGGGACTAAAGCCCTGTTGTATTCACCTTTTACAAAAATAATTAAGTAAAAATAAGTTCAGTTCAGTAAAATTAATTTGAGTTCAGTAAAAATAATTCCAGTTCAATAAAAATAAGTTTAGTTCAGTAAAATTCAGTTTCTTAAAGAAGAATTATAATAAAAAATCAGTAAAAATAATTTCAGTTCAGCAAAAATAATTTCAGTTCAGTAAAATTAATTTAAGTTCAATAAAAATAATTTCAGTTCAACAAAAATAATTTCAGTTCTGTAAAAATAATTTTAGTTCAGCAAAATTAAGGTAAAGAGAACAGGGGCTAACATTATGAAACGGAGGGAGTATTATTTTAGGAATGTATGACAAAATGTAGTTAATGAATATATTACATTAATACTTTTCTATTTTAGCTTCTTATTTATACATAGCCCTAAATCATTTTCCTATTTTAATTTTAATTTTCATTTGAATAATTATTTCTACATATTCTCCAAATTTAACTTCTATAAAATTTTCACAAAATTTCATATGTGTTTGGGCACATAGTATGCATGGGGTTACTGAGTCAGATAACCGTAAGTTAGTCCGTCAGGTCATGAATTACTTGATCAATATATTTTTCACAGTATTTTTGTGCGTCAGTTTGTCGCACAACTTGGTTGCCCAGTTGCCCATAAAAAAAAAAAAAAAAAAAAAAAAAAAAAAAAAAAAAAAAAAAAAAAAAAAAAGGCGCTGTAAATTTTATACAAAGCTGATCATAGCTATAAGTTTAGATACAATAATATTTATTTGACAATTACAAATTTACAATGAGGTTTTATAGTTGTGTACGTAATTATAGTACTACTTTGTATGATTTAAAGTTTATGTTAAAGTTTTATAGTTGTTCACGTAATAATACAATATGATTTAAAGTTTATATCAAACCATTTTTTTTTTATTGTAAACTAGCCTTTTGGCCCGTGCAATGCACGGTTTGTTCATAGAAAATTGCATTGAGAGATGAGTGGAGAAATACCAATAAATAATTATGAGTGTAATATGTGAATGAAAACATAATTAAAGAAATAAAAATTTTGGGACTTTAATTTGAAATGAGATTAATAGAAAGAAGATGGAGGGACTAAAATCAAAGAGGAAAAATAAAAAGGTAGAATTAAAGAGGGGAGATGAATATGAAGTGTTTAATGAAAGAGTTAAGAAAAATTGTATAATTAAAAATAAAAAATGTAAAACGACATGTGGCACATTGATTTGAAGAAGAAGATAGGGAAGTGTAATAAAAAGATGACATATGTCTTTTTTGGTTTGCTTTTTTAAATACTAAGTACAGATTTGTAACATATAACTCCGTGGTTAATTGGTTGACTTGGACTGTATGAGAAGTAGAGTTTTATGGAGGGTGCTTGTTAATGCTAGAAACGAAAGGATTGGATCAAAATATCATAGTAGCTACAAAAATTAGTATTATCATACTTCCTCCGTTTTTATTTATTTAACGCGTTTGATTTAGGCATATACTAAGGAGAGGAGAGAGTGAGAGAGAAAGAAAAAGCAGGTGGAGTAGTTTGTAAATGCAGTAAAAAAAGTTATCTAAGCATGAATTGTTAATATTTGATACAGTTGCTAAGCATGAGATTATTATAGCCGCATGGGCTTGCTGGTTAGCCTTACTGGTTTGCATCTAAGCATGATGGATGTGAACAAGATCAAGTTAATAGTTTCCTATATGAGGTTTATAAGAGATGTTTACAATGAATTAACCAAAAATGCGGATACGAGTGGAGAAATACCAATATTGCCGCGTCCTCTGCAACCCACTAATCCCCAGCAGTATTTTCTTGTCGAGCTATCGAATGGGGGAATCAACGTTACACTAGGAATCGACATCAGTTACGCGAATGTCTTGGGAATTCAAATCGGTGATGAAGCTTACTTTTTCTACGAGGTGAGTTCAGATATATATGAGACTGTGTTTCCAGACAACCGGGCAGTGCAACTTCCATTTAACATCAACTACGAGTCGTTGGAAAACGCTGCTAGAGTTGTCGACAGAAGAGAAATCCCTCTAGGAATTGGCGAACTAGACTGTCAAATTAATGAGATGGATATTGGATATAATAGCCCATATAGAAACAAGAAAATTGCTAGAGCCCTTTTAGTTATGATACAGATGATCTTTGAAGCAGTTAGATTCAGAAACATCGAGCAAAGGGTGATCGAAAGTATACTTGGTGTATCGCAGTATGATAAGTTCTATCCAGATGGTTTAATGATTGAATATGAAAACAACTGGGGTAATCTCTCCGCTCGTGTCCAATCTGCAGTACACGGAATTATTTCACCGGCTTTTCAGCTGAACATTGATGGTCAAGTTCAGACCATCTTGACCATCGACAATGTGAGACAGGTAGTTTTCTTTCTTGCAATAATGCCACTTATCTGCGTACCAAACCGGGTAGTACCAGAGAATTCAATCAATGATGGCTTTGCTTCTTCGTTAATGTCAGTAGTATCACCCATAAGCAGATCGAGACTCACTTTGCAGCAGAAGGAAATAAGAGGTTACGATAAATATCATGGTTATGATAAGTGCGACCAAGATTTAGAGCCCAAGGTGCACATCACTGGATTTGATGGCCTTTGTGTTTCAGTGGAAAATGGATATTATAATGATGGAAACGGTGTAGTTTTAAGTGTCTGCAGAAACAGGCAAGAACACCAACTTTGGAGCTTGAGAAGTTCGGATCAAACGATTCATTCTGAAGGAAAGTGCTTGACAATAAATTATGAATATAGCCAAGAAAACAATGTAATGATATATGATTGCAACGCTACTGTCCCTAGGGCCACCAAATGGCAAATTCAGAGCAGTATTGGAAAGATTAAAACTCAAAAATCCGGGCTTTCCTTGACTGCAGAAAAAGATGCTGCTGGTGTGTATAATGTTGTAGTCGATCCCTACCAACATGTACCAAGACAAGTTTGGTTTCCCACCAACAATACGGAACCACCAGTGACTAAGATTGTTGGTTACGACTTACTCTGTTTGACACTAGATGGTGTTCATCATGTGCAAATGGCCAATTGTGATGATAACATTAAAGACAAAAGATGGGCAGTATACCCGGATGGTACTATCAGGCCGGAACAGCACCAGGGCCGGTGTCTCCAGTACAAACATGGCCAAAATGAGATCATTCAGGGAGCATGCAGTGGATACTCTGATGAGCGCTGGATCTTTCGGGCCGATGGTACCATTTTACATGAGGCCACTGATATGGTGATGGATGTAATAGAGACTCCTGCTCTTTATCAAGTTACCGTCAATGATTATAATGGAAATCGCTTCTCCCAAATTTGGTTCATGACACAGACCCTCTGCTAGTGTTTTCGTCTTGTATCAATAAATAAGCAGAAGCTAATCAAACTTTTATAGTTTGATTTCATGTCATCTGCCCATGTTTGCTCTATGATGTATTTGTGTTCTATATGTACTGCATAAATTATGATGTGTTCTATATCTATGAAGTATCATGATAGAATGTCTTATTTTTTCTAAGTATCATGTTAGGATGTCCTATTGATTTCTAGTATCATGTTTAGGATAAAGCTTTGATTTTTAATATTTAGTGACATGTTAGAATTTGTTATTATTCATGTTAGTATCATGCCTAGAATCTTACTAACAATATTATGCTTTGATGAGTTTATTATGATGATGATTGGTGGAGTTAATGTTATTATGTTGCTTGATATTATTATTGTTATTGTTTGATCACGCCCTCTGTCAAGTTTAAAGAGAAGTTGTATTTGAAATCACGCTTAATAAGATAATTACTAAATTTATTTAGGCTAATATGATTTTAATTCAAGTGATCATCAATAATAGATATATTTGTGCATTAATAATCAACCAACATAGATTAAACAGGTTTAGGATTAATACATTGATTGTATGTTAATTAAAAAGCGCACATGAATATGAGAAAAACAAAAGTAGAGGTCTATTTAGGGCAAGTTCAATCTCTTTTAGGTTAAATATGTACCATCATCCTCGAATATCCAGTTATGGTTCAGAGCCATCATAGAGTTAGCGATCTCTGTGATCGTGAATGGGGTGTAGCCTTCACCTCATGGACGGTTTACAAGTTCCTAAAACTTGTTGATGAATCTTTTACTTTAGATTCCTTTCCTTTGGACGCCACCATGCTTAGTGCATGATCACTGTGGGGCTCAAAGTTAGATGCTTGAAATAATTCTCTACAGTTTTTGGCGACTCTGTTGGGGAGGAATTCTATTTTAGTTCCTAAAATTTATTTTGGCAATTGATTTAGAATGAGTGGATGAGACTTAAAACATTCTAAGTATTCATGTGCATAATTTTGATTAGCATTGTGGTATAAGCATAAAAAGGTTCGCATTGGAAAGACCATCTGTAATGCGTGAAAACATAGATTTTTTACACGTAGGAAATATCTTTCACAACTAGAATCGAAAAAACGCTACAAAAATTGGAAAATCCCGAGAACACATAAAGTTGTCGAGGAGTGTATGAATTGTCGCGAGACAGTAGAGTCCATCATAGTGCGATGGCCTTATTGCGGCGCGATAGCTTTATTACAGTGCGATAAGGCCATCTTCTCGCAATGGATCCCGTTTTCTTGCACTGAGTTCTTCCAACACCGAACCAGAAATCTACCTTCTCATTTTTTACTGATTCTAGTACTGTTTGGCCGATTTTACTTCCTAATTGAGTTTTTCCTTCTTTTCTGAAACCCATATGTGCTCTACATATAGCTTTATCCCTTGGAAATAAACGCTCCATCTACCCAATTGAACGCTACGTGCAACGAAGGGTACATCCGAGTTGGTGAATTCACCAAACCATAGAAGTAAGTTTAACTTGCGGGGTCCCATCTATACGCGCCAAGCCGCCAACCCTTTTAAAGGTAAGGCTTCCGCGCAATGCATCCGGACTCATAACCATGGACCCTCTTTGGCTACCATAATCCTTGAACTTTAGAGAACTAGAGTCATGGTTAAGTTGCAAACTCATTGCATCATATTGTGACTACTTGACTACTTGTGAGTCTTTTTCTTGTGCATCGACTATATGTGATAGAACTAACTGGTTATTTTGACTTGTGCTTATAAATAAGTCTTAATAAACTGATTAATAACTAAAGGACTTTTCTTAACCAATTAATTTAGCGAATTAGATAAATAAAGTCTAAATATATTTGACTTAACACGACTAGAGGCTTACCGATTTGAATAGAACATCGGAAACAAGTCAAAACTGACATTTCAATATTGACGAGGAGTTTGGCTTGTGACGCGAAGCGTTAGTGTCCATCGCGAAGCGATAGTAGTATCGCGCAGCGATTGTTCTGACGCGATGCGATAGTCCCATCAATTGAGCAATGGTCTGGTTTTCTGCTCAGGTCTTTGAGTCAAGTCTAATTTGTTAATTAATTAATAACCGAGGTCATAGTTTGGTTGTTAATCGAGTCTACTCACATAGTCCCATGGTCTTTGCACGAGTCTCAAGCATGTCACTTTCACTCAGTAGTCAAAAGCACACACTTTGTATATAAAAATCAAAGTCAATTCGAGTCTAGTCATTAAAAAGAGTCAATGGTGTAATATTACAGCACTTAGCCAAGGAGAGAAGGGCGTCTAATCAAGGTCACCTTGCAAAACAGAAAACTGCGAACAATAGCAACAGTGGCTAGAAAGGAAATAATGAAGAACGATAATCCTTCTTCCTCCAAAGCAAATTACTCTTATAACGTTAGCATCTTTGACTTAATAAAGTTCTTTCCATGAACAATCAAGGACATAGGAATCCATTTAGGAAAAAATTCACTCCTATTGGCTTGAGCTATGACACAGCCGTCGATCGCCTTCATGCTAAGGGACTCATCACTCCAACTGAACCAATGGAAGATCTACTAGTTGAAAGAAGGATGACCAATTGGAACCCGAACACACACTGCAAGTATCACCAAGGCAGGGGCCATGCTACTGATAATTGTTGGAAGTTGAAAGAAGTCATCCAAGACTTGACCGACAATAACAGGCTTTCATTGCCTCCTGCTAGCAAGAAGTCGGGCATTAATAGTGCTTCACTTTCAGATTCTTTAGCAATTTCAGATGAAGAGGATCACATCGATCCATCACTCCTCATCAAGATAATAGAAGAGCCTTATGCCATCGAAGAAGAGGATGAAACCTTTTTTGATGCCATGAATGATTTCCCACCAACCAACGAAGGTCCCTCTAGAGAGGAAATATGTGCCCTCATAAATACAGCAGACGAGCTAGTACGACTAATCAAAGATTACAATAAGAGAATAGAGGTGGCTGAAAAGCAATGCATTGTTGAAAAGATGATGAGCATTTCTCAATCAAAGCCTTTCGAAAGGAATCCATTTACTATCAACATAGTCACACCGCCAAGAAGGAATGACAAGACTTATATGCCTATCAGGGTCTCTTATGAAAAGATGTTAAAAATGCTCTTCGAGATGGGAAAGGTCGTCAGACCTCTCGAGCCAAGACCATTTGAATCACTAAAAAGGACAAATTGATTCTACTGTCAGTATCACCAATCTAGGGGACACACCATAGAAAATTGTTTCAAATTCAAGGATCTCATCCAAGGATTTATAGATAGTGGAAAACTTGTTCCAACAAAACAAGAAGAAGATGTTAGTATCAATGGAGTTTGGGACAATTATGATGAGGATGTCTACCTCAAAGACATGGAAGAACCTCCACTCACCACAATTTATCCATTCGACGACATTAGGGATAAAGAGGATTATCCCATCGACGTCCTCACAAGGTCTGGAAGATTACAACCTCCAGTCACAAATGCGCCTATTCCTACTACTCAATAAGTCCCAATACCACTTATAGAGGACTACGATTTTGTTAAGCTACTTAAGAAGACTAAGGTTGAGATGAACATACATAAACTATTAGCTAGATACATCCCATGAGAACAGGCTCACGGTAATGGATGCTTTGGCTAAGGTAGGAATAGACTTAGAAACTACTCTAGACAGATTAGCCAACTTCCTCACAAGTGATCTTGCTAGTCCAATCAACTTGATAACCTTTTCTGACAAGGATTTACCTCTAGAAGGTGACAAGCACAAAAAAGCCTTACACCTCACTATAATTTGCAATAGAATAAATGTGACAATGACCACTACAAAAAAATAGTCTGTTTCCGACGGAAAAATTCCGTCGAAAAAACCCCGAAATCCGTCGGAAAACTCGTTTCCGATGGAATACCGTCGGAACGGGTTGTCGAAAAATGGTTAGTATGAAAACAGACCCTTCCGACGGAAAATTCCGTCGGAAACAATCTTCCGACGGAATTTAGTCGTCATAAGAGATTTTTCGGCACCGGATAAATCTGTCGTAAATCTCTGACGGACGCAATTCCCTCGGAAAGTTGCGATGGAAAATCCGTCGGAAAATTATATAAAAAAAACAAAAACAAAAAAAAAAAGCATACCACCACCCCCACCACCAACCTTAACTCGTATCACAAGCCCACCCCTAACCTGTATCACCAGCCCCCTAACTCGATCCACCACCCACACCCACACCCAATGTGGGGAATAATTTCAAGCGTTAATCCTCTAACTTGAACCCCACTGTGATCATACACTAAAGTACGGTGGCGTCCAAAGGGAAAGAAGATAGAGCAAAAGAGTCGCCAACAAATTTTAGGAACTTGTAAACCATTCACACGGTGAAGGTTATACCCCTTAACGATCCAAGAGATCGTCAACTCCATAAGGTCTAGAACCAAATAAGGGTTCGGGGATGAAGGTACAAATTCAACATAAAAGAGATTGAACCTGCCCTAATAATAGGCCTCTACTTTATTCTGATCGTATTCATGTGCGCTTTCTGACTAACGTACAAGCAATATGATTAACCCTAAACCTGTTTATCTATGTTGGTTGAATTTAATGAACAAATAAATCTATTATTGGCGATCACTTGAATTATAATCAAATTAACCCTAAACAAGATTATTAATTATCTTATTAAGCGTGATTACAAGTACAAATTCCCTTTAAACATGCATAAAGGTGTGATCAAGCAATAAATAAAATCAAGCAACATAATAATAATAAATAATAATCATCATGACCATAAAATTATAATCATCAAAATAATAATAATCATAAAAATAATAATCATAAATTATAACAATTATGATCATAATCATGTTCATGTTAATATTAAAGCATAATAATAGCAAGATCCTAGACATGTTACTAACAAGATTAATAACAAATCCTAGCATGTCACTAAACAATAAAAATCAAATCTTTAACCCTAACATGATACTAACAA